GTTTTTCTTTATACAAGATCGCATAATCAAAATTTCAATATGTCGTTTCGTCTCTTCTTTTCCATCAACCTCCTTTTTTCTTATGGACGCCACATTGGATTTTGACACAGATATATATTGTTTTTCGTTCCGATTTCAAAAATGTATAATATGTTATACAATGGCGTTGCCAAACCTTAGTTGTTCTAGAAAAACAGACGACCCTAGGTAGGACATGAAATTATCAGATTTCATTTGTTTCGTATACCAGGCCTCAAATTGAACATGGCAACAGAGTTTAGAAGACTAAGAAGATGAGAAAAGAATTGAGCAGTTTACAATGTACAAATTTGAAACATCTGCTATGATTTACCTCTTACATTTATGTTTATTATTGTTATTACCACCAATAACCTTTCTATTTTGTGTTCAGGTTTCTCCATACCTTTTTGTTCCCTTTTAATTTTCATCCAACAACAAATTCATATCCAACTAAGGAAATACATGAATTTATCATCTTTGTTTAAATGTTCAAAATACCAATATAGTGTCCATATGAAAAAATAAAGATGGTGATGGAAGTCAAAAGAAGAAATGTCCAATTGAAAATTTGACTACGTTATCTTGTAGATGAGAATAAGCAACAATGACAATATGCAATTTATTTTGAAACCCCGTCTAAGGGGAGTCAGGAGAAAATTAAAGTGATTTGGTTGAGCAAGTTTGAAATAACGAAGCTAATGCGCCGAAAGGCGATATAAAAAGTGTAAGAAACGAGTTTTTTAACAAAAAAATCTATTATTATTGCCCTGCCACATGTTGCATTAATACTGCTGAAAGATGATGCATACAGGTTTATTATTTTCTTCAATTTGCAACACTTGGGGCTCTCTAGGTCTTCTACAGTGCTCACCTAGACGTTCTTTCAACCAGTTTTTGTGAGAGATAAACAAAGCAGTGCTGCGCAAGATAAGAACATCCATGAAGACGATCTGAATACAGTTGCGGCACGTCAGCAATATCTTGAAAACACTCACAAAACATAACAAAATAACACCATATTGACATGTTCGCTATTGCTGCATCAATGTGACATTTTCGGCATTTTCGAATCCGATTTACAAACAAGCAGCTTGCTTACCTATACGGATTGGAGATTAATTTATTTATAATTTTTAATTTGCTAGTGTCAGGTTGTCATGGTTTAAAGGTTCTCTTAACACGTTCGCGGACACTGACGGCATATCACGTCAATGAACTGTTTTCTAGCGGGGCACTGAGAAATGTTGAGGTGTGCTCAAAATGTCACGTTGATAAATTATTTCATATCAAACATAGAAAAGTGAATCAAATAGCATTCAAACAGGAATTTTTCACACATGCAGATATGATGAAAAAAAATCATGCGGTATATGACGTCATGTCCCCCTACGCACCCATTTCACTCACATGGGATACTTGACGGCATATGCCGCATGCGAATAGCTGCTTGTTTAACTCATTTAAATTACCTGTTTTCTATTGAAGTCATGAACAATAACAAGAGCAGTACAGAAACAAGTTTTATTATGAATAAGTATGTGTACAAACACAAAATAAATACATATTCCTTAAATTTTATTCATTGTCAAACAGCAAAATAAATATTTAGGTGCTTTCAATATAAGCGATCAAGCTTTATACCAAACCTGAAAACAGTCTCCAACACACACAAAGAGATGGTTTTCCTATACAATCACGGCATTGCCATGCAGTCTCCTTCCTCCTTTGTTCTAGGTAGCACTGTTTACAGCGTTTGTAAATCTTTTGTTTACCTTTTTTGTTTTCTGGCACAGGTATAGCCTCCAAAACGTGGCCCAAATTTTCTCTACTTTTTTTGGATGGCATAAACTTTGTTTTTTTCATCAAGTTGACAAATTCCCTTCCATCTCTCTGATCCGGAGAGATCCCAAGTAAGGATTTTATTAAATCATTTCGGAACTCTTTGAACGTCTTGTTATCTTTGTGGCTACGATTATATAAATAATGGGAATTCCAGACAGCTATATCAAGAAGATGAAATATAACCTTTTTGTGCCACCTGATTGTTTTTCTAGGACATGAATAATAGCTAATCATTTGATCTGCACGATCAATACCTGACATATTGTCATTATAGCAACTGACCATTAGTGGCTTGGTTTTTTTATGACCATACCTGTTTGCAGTTTCAACCAATTCAGGCTTATAGCCCGTCGTGATGGATAAGACATCACGTTTGTCGCGCCATTTGGAAACATACACATTTCCCTTTCTTCTCCAAATATGCTGCCCGGATTTCAACTTGGCTCCAGTAACCTCTTTGGGATTACCTTTCCTATTCGACCGTAATGTCCCCGTGCTGTGAGTTTTCCTTTGCAATAGGATTTCCGATAACTGGACACTGTTATAAAAGTTATCCATGTATATATGGTGGCCTTTATCTAGAAATGGCTCCAGAAGCCTAAGAACTAAAGAATTTATTTTAGAACTGCCCCTGACATCTTCTCTATTAGATTTACCTTTATAAATTTCTATATTTAGGACATATCCGTCATTGGAACACAGTTCATAGAACTTAATCCCATATTTACTTTTTTGTTTTTTATGTAAACCCGAAACCGTAATCGGCCTCGGAAAAGTAACAGTGATTCATCTAGAGATAAGGCTTCTGGCGGAGAAAACATATTTTGGCTTGACTTAATGATAGATTTCACAAGCCAACTAACTTTATAGAGATTATCCTCCTTATTTTCATCATCTGCACAATTCAAGCACCTCAGAATCTGTTCAAATCGTCTACCTGACATAGTAGCCGGGAATATCGGATGATAATTGAGAGGATCCATTGAAAACATGTCCCTAATAGACTTGAACTTCAACTGGCCAGCAAGGAGACACAAACCGAGAAAACCTTTCATTTCTTTTAAGGAAATATGTTGAAATGTCTTGAATCGCTCGTTTCTGGACTTAGGCCTATTGCCCACAAATAATAATTCACCATATTCATTTGACTTTTGAACAATGTAATTAGTCACATCCACAGTCCAGATTTTTTCAAAAACCTCAATTGGGGAAGTGCCTGCTAGCTGTTCTTTCAAACCAACTGATATGGAATCAAAGGAAAACTCTAAACAATCGATTATATTATCTTCCCATTTTTGTTCATCGTTGTCTGGATCTAATAGAACATCGATATCATCAGAGCCCTCGCTATCGACATGTCCTGACGGCAAATCAACTTTTGATTTAGGTTCTTGCCGTTTACGCTTTTTTCGTGATGTTCCAGCTAAAATTTACAAATAAACGAAACTAATGTGTATGGGAAAAATGCGCATCAACTTACGCTCATCATTGTTTGGAGTATTCTCGTATTCTGAATCAGTACAAGAGTCTGAGTCCTGTTGCATATATTCTGGATCAGCAATGGAGTCATCTGTACTATATGGATCATGTCTGCTTTCATCTTCGCTCTCACACTCTTCATACCAGCGCATCCACTGCTCTCTATATTTATCGTCCATTTTGCTGTAGCTCTAATGCGTACATCCGCTCTCGATAACGAACAGACTCATACTGCCAACACGTATACGTATGACTACCGATGTCCGAAGATGTACCCCTCCCCCTCTTAAAAAAATCTACCTCACTTATTATTTGGCAGTAGGTTTCCAGCGGGACACCAAACCTCCTAATATACGCAGAATTGACGTGATGTACAGCAAAATGAAGTTAGGCCACTATATGTAGTTGACGGCAAGTGCCGTCACTGTCCCAATAGGCACACTGACTAGTGCGGCTTATAGCGCCAGCGCCTCATTAGGCACACACTAGCCACATAGAGTGTCCGCGAACGTGTTAAGGTTGGGTGATGTAGACCATGCATAAAAGGACTGCCACTGTAATAAATCCATATTTTTGTTCTAATACAAAAATAATAGCTTACCTAATGTAACATTTCGTCTTTCCTCCAGTCTACTAGTCTGAGAAGTATAGCAAATTTGTTTGGAAGAAATTGTAAGTAGACATAATATTTGATAAAAACGTATGAAAAGGGTTGCTATACGAGTATATGGTAAATAATCTGCTTCAATTTTTTGTTTGCAAAAATAGGGATAATTTTTTTGTGTCCCGTTCCCCAGCCCTAACATACCCATAGTTTTTGAACCTCAAAATCGGGCAAAGTTATGGCAATAAAATCACTAAAATGCTAATTATAAATTCTGTATTCGCAGGACATTGACCTCTATGTGCTATGATACATGCCAAATCAAGGTATTACTTTTGTTTTTCAGTTTCTAAATTTCAATTACAAAAAATAGAATTCCCTGCGAATAAATGCAACTATCATGCAACTACAATACTAATAAACAACCACCAGCCGATGAATAGGGTAATTCTAGGAGAGATGGCCCACCTTTTTACAAATCAACATAACATCTTTATTATACCCCAGAAAAATCATTTAATAACTTAGGTTAAACCAGGCTTATATGAAGAATATTATTACAACAGAAAAAATAATCAAACTTAAATTTTATTCTCAAAGAAACGAAAAAATAAAATATCAGACTGAGCCATCTCTCCTTTAATATATGGGTGAGTTGGCCCATAGTATTCGGTGAGATGGCTCGATTCAAAAACTAGTAAATATAGTAGTTCATTATTGCTGCGACTTTCCACATGCATCACAAAAATTGTCGAATCTGGTGCACCCTTCATGTACCCATCTGCAACACGTCACACACTGAATCCAGTCATCCATTTTTGTGGTGGTGGAATAAAAATCTCCGCATCCACCGCATTTATTTGTTTCATCTTCGTATTCCGAGGAATCATCATATATTATTTCTTCTTCAGAAGAAGATGTAGATTGCTTCCGTTTTTTAGACTTACTTTGAACGCGGCTAGGGCCTGGTTTAATGCATTTCTTGTTTTCTTTCTTTTTCCGTTTCTTCGCCTCAGCTTGTAATTTTTCTTCTAGTTTCTTTTTCTTATTTCTAATGTTATCGCTGCTAGTCAAGACAGAAGCCAACTGTCCACCTCTCTTCCTCGCAGAAGAGACTGCTTCAGTGATAGGAATCGGGTTAATTTTGTCCAGTATTTTTCCAGGAGTATCTATTTCTTTCTCAGGTGTCTTCATATCAGATGGTCCAGCTGAATCATTCACTACCGATTCCAATATTTCAATAATAGATGAATCCTGAGCAGATTCATTTCTATTGTCAACAGATATTTCACCATTCGGTAAAACTTGAGATTCAGGTTCATTAGGTGAAGCTCCCTGAGGTTTGTCAGTAAGATAAGCGTAATCTGGAATCGCAGACGGATTAAAAGGCACAATTCCTGTAGCTCTGAAAGATGAAACCGCATTTTTAACAGTTGCTGATTTCTCCCAAGCTGCAGCGAGTAATTGTCCAAAAACCAATCTGTTAATGCGTCGATTGGGATTTCTTCTAATGAAAGCATTACATTCTTCATAATAAAACGCCTTTAGTGACTTAAAAACTCCTCTGTCTAGAGGCTGAAGAAATTGAGTTGTGTGACTAGGTAGACACACAAAAATTATTTCATCTTCAGAAGCATATTCTAGTGTCTCTACGCTGCTGCAATGCGATGAGTGTCCATCGAGGATTAATATAACATATCCCGGAGGTTTCCTTGGGACAAACTGTTCTTTAAGCCACCTCAAAAATAAAACTATTGACATAAGCTGATTTCTCAGACATGAATACTAAGGAGCCTGGTGGCATACCATCGGCAAACTCTGGTTTCTGATTCTTACCCTTAAAGATGCACGTTGGTGGTATAAATGACCCCTCCGCATTGCAAGATGTTATTACGGAGATTGTTTCGCCTTTTTCTGCTGATGTCACTGCCGATAGGTTTTTTGAACCTCTCTGAGCAATAACAAAGCCTGGTTTGTTGTTCATTTGTAGACCTGTCTCATCTACATTGTAGATTCTTGTTGGTTTGTTAATTAAATTATATTCTATCAGAGTGTTTTCCAATAGGTTAAAATAAGATGCCACAACTTCTCTATTCATATTTAAACAACGAGCAGCTGACATACCTTCGGATTTTCTCACTGCTAGATCCTTATTGCGCCTTAAAAATGACTCGAGCCATGGATATCCTGCCATACGTCTTTCAATATTGAATTTATGTGGGAGATTTAATTTCTGTTCTAATTCAAATGCCATAGAGCGTACAGTTGTTCGTGATGGCGAAAATCCAAACTTTTGAAGTTTTTTAATATGATTGACCAATTTAACTTCGTTTTCTTGTCCTAAAGTAGATAATGGTCCCAACGGAAGCTTTCTATGATTGCCACTTCTCAAGCATCGTCGAAGTGTTGTGTATGGCAAAGTAACGAACGGCTTCTCGAACACCTACTCTACCTTCTTGTACAGCCTCTACAGCTTGTTGTAAATCTTGTTCTGACCATTCCTCTCGACAAACACTACCTTTGCGTTTATATTCGGTAGGCATTTTAACTGCAAAAGAGTTCATAACTATTAAAATCATGTTAAGTAATTGAGCCATCTCTCCTCTCTTAGCAGTGAGCCAACTAACCTAATGCTACAAGGATAGATGGCTCACTTCGGCGTTAAGTTATACATGCGAATAACAATTTAATTTTAGGTTAGGAATGCCGCCAGGCCTTATACTACCCGATGAATTTGTAATTGTTGGCAAAAAATAACAATACGTACCTCTCACGCAATTTTAATACTTTGTCAAAAAAAAAATTCGTACATATAACCACCACTTCTATTGTAATTCTACTGTAATAAAACGTTCAATTACTAACTGCGGCTGACACAGCATATGACGCAATACTAAATGGCTGCCGGTGTTGCCAAAGGAGCGGTCTTTCATACATATGTGGAGATATTGACGGTGGGCCAACTCACCTGATGGGCCATCTGTCCTAGAATTACCCTAGATGAATAGATTTCTATAAAAAACATTTTCGCTTCAAACAACTGCAATATAAACAAAAATACTAGATATTTTGATTTGAAAATTCATCACAGGGCTAGAGATCAGTTTCGTGCGATAGAGATGTTCAAGGTAAATAGTAAATTGTCAGAATTTTAGTGGTTTTATTAAAGTAACTTGAAAATCCTTTATCCAATTTTGATGTTCAAAAATATTAGTCTGTGACTGTTTTGGGGCTAAAAAGGGGCCAAGGTTCATCCCCTTAGGGATATAAGTAACCTGAGGGAAAAATAAAAAAGTATTTTAAGCCCATTTTTCTGCAAACTAAAAATTTGAAGTGGAACATTTTTTTTCTATCACGACCCAAGCCTTCGTCCAGTAACCCTCTTCACTTCTTTAACCAACTAATCGATTTTCGATAGATTGCCTGGATTAAACCCGTCAAAGACAAAGTCCCCTCAAAATTCTGTACGAGGCTTGTTCATTGAGCACACTCGTGTTTGAAGACAGAGGTCTGCCTTCTATCAAACGACGGCACAATAAATCTCAAACTGATTGATAGGTTAGTTTGGATTTGGCAGCGATTTGAGTAACACGCGTTTCGTGATTTTCGCTAAGATGAAAAACGAGCAGTATCGTTCGGTAATTCGCTTTTTGTTTTTGGATGGTAAAAATGCAAAGTTGGATGCTGTTTATGGGGACACTTTGCCATCTATGACCACAGCTAGAACATCCGCTTTTGATGACGAGTGACCAGGACGCTCGGCAGACGTGGTTACCGAGGAAATCATTCAAAAAGTCCACGACATGATTCTCGAACGGAAGTGCGCGAAGTAGCAGATGCCGTAGGTGTGTCGACCGGAATGGCAATGAATATTTTACATGATAAGATGGAGATGAAAGAATTGTTGGCCCGATGGGTGCAGCGATGGCTCACGGTGGACAACAAGCGGAATCAACTGTTTAATTTGTATCAATGTTTGAAGCAATTTAAGCGAAATACGAAGGAGTTTTTGCGTCGAGTTGTCATCGTTGATGAAACCTGGATTTATCATTATACACCAGAACCTAAGCAACAATCACAACAATCAAAACAATGGATTTCTCCCGGTGAATCTGCTCCAAAGAAGGCGCCCAACTAGCAAAGTAGTGTTATAAGCTTTTGGTAAAAGAACTGTTCAGCCATAAAAGCTCTCTATTGTTGTTGCCTGAACACCAAAATGCTGGCTTAATGTTGTGTGGAATGCAAATTTGCTTTCTGCAACACATTTACTCTAAAGTGAGGTGTTTAAAATATTCTTATAGCATAGTTATACGACAACTTATAGGGCAAAGTTTTAACTGTTGCATAAACGTTTATACAACTATTTTATACGGCATATTTGCACGTTAGTCAAAATGGTTGTGTTGTGGCATCCATGGTAACGTTTATAAAACAAACCCGAGCCTTGTTGTTTTGCTGTGCAATTTACTACTTTAGCCAACAAATTGCTCCCAACGGAAGCACTTATACCACTTTTAAATGCTGTACATATGCTAAATATGTTAGTATACAACTTCACCATAACCTAACTTTCTGCTGTCATATTTTTCTTAAAATGCCATAACCAATGTTTTAAGACAAACAACGCATGCATGTTGGTTCAAAATGTTTTATCAACTGTTCAAACAGAAGATATATATCTGGTACAAATTCTGGTTAAATCATTCGACTGTGTCTGGTATTTCATTTCAGACATTTGTCAAATTGTTGTATAACACCTGCAGGCAATACCAAAATATTCTAATAACCTAAAGACAACATGGACGATGCCATGATTATACACAACCACCCGCCATATTAGGCAAACATCTATTCCTCTATTTAATATTAAGTAATTATGTTTCAGTTCGAAATTACAGATATAAAGTGATAAATATTAGTGTAATTGCGTCTAAATATAGGATTTGTGGAAGATTTAACGCAGATAAGTTCAGTTTTCCATCTTAAAAATCTAGACATACTTTTGATCATTATCAAAATATGAATCAAATACGACCCCGTAGAAATTGCGTAACTAATTTGCACGATAATCACAATAAAATTTGCTGCGCAAGTAATTCAATAGCCCTATATCACAGTGTAGAAGCTTATCATATACCTGTGTATGAAATTCACAATGGCCGATATGTAAGTAAACAAGATGACTGTACTGTGTTAGTTATATATTCTTCTTCGTTTATACAATACATAAGAAATAGTTTGGTTGCAATAAAGTAGAATCACGTAACATAATAGTTGTATAGTTGACAAAAACTGAATCTTGCACTGACGCAAATGTCCTTTAGCGGCTGCAAGAGGCTTACACTTTTATTGTATAACTGTAACCTGCAGCCCTTATACAACCTGTTAAATGACTGAAGTTTCCTATTAGGTGTGTCCATTTCGGTTGTATAGCAGTTCTAAGAGGGTTTTGCCAATGTTCTTACAGTATACAATGCTGTTTAAGGAATACTGTTAAATCATTCTTGCAACTCTAATAGGAGTGATAATTGTTAGTTGGGCGAAGACGGTCTTATCGGCCGGAAAGGTCATGGAGACGATTTTTTGGGATGCGAACGGCGGATTTCTTAGAGCGGTCACTGAAGAATGCTACAGGTGAGTTGTTGGACCGCTTCGGCAAAAAATTGAAGGAGACACGGCCACATTTGGCGAAAAAGAAGGTGCTCTTTCACCACGATAACGCACCAGCGCATTCATCCGCAGTTGTCGCCGCAAAACTGCATGAATTGCATTATAAAGTGCTGCAGCACCTTCCGTGTTCACCCGATCTGCCCCCCTGCGACTTTTTCTTGTTCCCTAACATGAAGAAATGGCTCGCGGGAAAAAAAATTGGCTCAAACGTTGTAGTCATCGCCGAGACAGGCTTATTTGGAGAGTTCGACAAATTCTATTTTTAGGAGGGGTTAGAAAATGGCAGGAACATTGGGAAAAGTGTATCTTTCTAAAAGGGGCAATGTTGAAAAATATTTTTTTTTATAAAATGGTGCATTCGTTTCGAACTTGGGTACTTATTGAACCGCCCTCGTATTTGATATCTCAAAACCTAATAATTTAGTGACTTTGTCATATATTACCAAGAAAGTTTGTCTTTCTGTCACGTCCTCACTTTGAGAACAATTGCATGCTCAACTAGATCAGAGGAAATTGAATGATCTTCTAACTCCCCACATAACAAGAATCTAGCTTCTTTTGACTACTACTTCAGACATGACATCAGTATTACGCCCTTGTGCAACTATGTAGGCTGAGCGGTAAATGATAATTTATGCATTCGAAGTGCGTTCTTTAACGTTTCCAATTAGCATATACCATATTACACTGATTTTCAGCTGCTTGAATCTATCACTCAACGTGAGTAGCATGGAAAAAGCTGCCATGGCAAACAACAGTAAAGTCAAAGCTATCCAACATTATGGTGCAGACCTGATTTCAGCTAACAAAGACACAAAGAGGCAAACGGAAATTGAGGTTTAACAAACACACCTATCAATCACACTGAACTGGCATAAAGAACAGGTAACATGCAATTTGAATGGATAAATTAAACTCGCGAGATGTATTTCGAGCAAATCCTTATATATGCAGACTACAGCATTTTAAATTTCAACGCGGCTGGCACATAAAGTATGGAAATGATTTATTTCCAGAATCCAATAGAGAGCTGCGAGAAGCACGGATCCATATTCCGCTCTATTATTTTCGGAATCCTATACAGATTTATAGACGTTTTCTGTGGCTAATACAGAGTCTACCTCGTAGAATTGCGGGGGTCGTTTACCCGAAAGGATGACCTTGGACAATCATGACAGCTCGAAGTTATGTGATAACTAATTGGTTATACCGAAAGTTGATACCAATTTGTTTCAAGCGGAACACCCTGTATATTGTTCAATTTCCGGAATATACCCGTGATTGTATACAAACTTCATGTATAACATCCTATATCCAGTTTTCTGGATAGTTTCTACATGGTGGTCAAGAAGGCAAACGATTTTACAAGAAGTTTAAACGGAACAACCCGTATATTTTCATGCCTTCTGATTTCCCTTTCCACGAACCCTTTTAATCACATTAAGCTTTATGGGATTTGTACGAGTGGTTTTGGAGTTAGTGCTAACTTTAATTTAAAAGTTAAAGTGTCGCTATATTTTTAGCAAATAAAAAAACAGCTAAACCCCCATTACCATCATATCAAAATAGAGCTTGTGAAATGAGGATTGAAGCAATGTAAAGATTATTTTGAAAATGTTCGAGAAATCGTTTGTTTTGCCTTTTTAATCACCTTGTATGAGCTATACAAAACAAACTGCAAGTGTAAGTACCAGGGGGTACCCAAAAAAACCTGAATTATTTTTTAAAAGCTATTTATTTTCCAATTTTTCACAAAGTAACCTTATCTCCTTCAAAATACTGTCCACTACAACTAATACTCGTACACGTGTCCCATCGGTGCTTCCACTGCTCGAAACATTTTTTGAAGTCTTCCTTAGAAATGTCTGACAGCTCTTCCCTCGCTTTTTTCTTGACCTGTCGCATGGAATAAGGTGCGCGAGGCAGCAGAACCATGCCATTTTTAGCCAGAAACTGTCGAACACAGATGGCTGTGTGCGCAGGTGCAAATCGAGTCTTTTTTGCCGAACACTGTTTCGCAATCGTCTTAAAACCTCCAAATAAAAGGTCCGATTGACAGTGTGACTTGGGGGAACAAACTCGGAATGGACTAGGCCTTTGACATCAAAAATACAAATCAGCATTGCTTTGATGTTTGATTTGACTTGAGGACATTTTTTTGGACAGGGTGACGATGGCGTCTTCCATTGATTGGACTATTGCTTAATTTTTGGGTCATAACCGTAGCACCAAGACTCATCACGAGTGATGATATCTGTCAGAAAAGATTCAAGCTGTTGTATCAAAGCACGACATCTTTCAACTCGGTGTTCTCTCACTCAGAGCCCGAGGAAGAACTTGGCAACAACCCTTTTCATTCCCAAACCCTCTGTTAAAGTTCGCTGAACTGAACTCCGGGACTACCCACTAGTTACGGATAGTTGACCGATTGTCAGTCGACGATCTTCAAGCACAAGCTCTCGAGTTTTTACAACATTTTCGGCGATTAGGGTAGTTGATGCACGTCCAGAGCGAGGTTTGTCACCAATCGACATGTCGCCATTTTTAAATCGACCAAACCACTCGTACACCGTACACCATAGCATCATCTTAGTAAGCTATTTTCATCATTAAAACAGTTTCAGCAGCATTTTTAACAATTAGACAGCAAAATTTCATAGCTGCACGTTGCTCACTGAAGCTTACCATCGTAAAAATGAAACAAGCACGAAACAGCTCTAGCATAGATAATGACTACAGAGGAACGAAACAAGCCAGATCGACAACTGGCACTGAACTGGTAATGAGTTGCGCTGTACGCCTCTAGGGGCAGAAATGTGTACTACGCAAGCTCCGCCCACTGCAACGCTATTAAGTTATTTTTTGGTACCCCCTCGTATATAGACAGCCAGTACTCCAATGATAACAGTGGCGGAGGTGCTAGCTGTTAAACAAATCTGACGAAATTCGGTATTCGTTAGGAGTGCACCTGAATACTTTCTCAAACGAAACCAAGATCATTAAAATCGATGTGGCCAAAAAGAAGTTATGTGACTTTTTCTGAAATGACATTCATCCTAAACTAACCAAAATATAAAATAATGACATAAATAAAAAAGTTCGGAAAATGAGCGGCCAACATAATAACATCATTTAATGAGTATATTTATTATAAAGTTTGGCAAAATACTGGCATTTGGGTTTTTCAAATTGGAATGTCGCCACCTAGCGACCATTTTAGTAAGCCGAAGGTAATTTTCAGAAATTTATTTTGTCATATTTTTTTTTTAACGGAAAGCTCTAGGTTTAAGCGTTTGCCGAGGTACAGCCGGCATCCTTCAGAGTTTGCTCGCCAACATCCAAAAATATTTAATTTTCTAAATTATTCATGATTAGAATACGCGTGGGAATAGAATTGCCGTATACACAAAATCAGATAACGCACCCCATTCAATGTCGGCAAAATGTAATTATCAAATTATTTTTCACAAACGCAGAGATAGTGTCGTTTAAAAATGAATTTTCCCAGTAAATTGATAAATGCCGGCCGTTTTTCCCCTTCCCATCTAACAAGCTCTCCTGTTTCAGAGCAAAAAATGTTTTGTTTACTGGGCTAATTAGGGCCGGGAGATTGATTGGAGTTTCAGGAAAGCATCAATATCCACTTGTCTGGCTCTTTCTTTGTACTTAGGTTTTTATCACATCCAACGAAAGCGAGATCCTCTCTATTTACCCTCCCATGTTGTATGAATTGCAGCCTGCTTTTACTCCAGCTTTACCGGATTTATTAATTAAATTAACATATCGTCATCGCTGGCACAATTTACATTTTAAGTCTAGCTGTGAATCATCCACACCATAATTGGCCAATTCTGAAACAACTTATCAATAAATGGGATAAAAAATCCATTTTTGAATGCAAGCTTCAGTTTAGCTGTTCATCAAATGAACTGAAAACTTCTGACTGAAATTTTTTAATGATGATGAAGCTCAAGTTTTTGAAGCGTGTTACACACATTTTGCATCCTGCTGTCAAAACGTACTGGATTTTGTTAACAGGACTACATAAAACTTCATACTTTTTTTGTATTATAAAATTTCGGATATAGACCATATAATGATCAATGATGTTATTTGCATGTTAGTCTAATCATATTAGCAAATTTCCCCGAAATAATAGTGAAGTATGGTTTCATTGCTGCAGGTTGTTCAAGGTGGTATTTAAAACATGGACGCATAAAATGGGTACACCAATTTTTGTGGGAAAACTTTTTATTTGACAACAAAGAATGAGAAAGCGTTGACACGAACAAAAAAAACTTTTCTTATAAGATTTTCAGTTATTTATGAGACCTACAAAATGAGACCACATGTAAAAAGATCCGGCTAATAGCAAAAATGTTATGGTCGAAAAACGAGGCAAAATGGAGGTTTTGGCACTTGCTGGTACTTCGAAGATACTTTCACGCAACTACTTGAAATTCTTTTAATCCGTAAGATTCATACTTTCAAATAACAACAAAATTGGATCATATTGGTCAAACAGTTTTTTGAGAATGTCTAATTGTTTATCCCAAAACACTTGTTTTCTGGTCATCACTACTAGTTTATTGAGCAGTATACAGGGTTCGTCCAAAGAGCATTTAATAACTAAATACATGTGTTTACCTTGCCGATATGAATCACAAACCATTCCGAAAGATAAATGTTATTTTTATGCGAAAAACAAAGGTTACGTTTTTTCTTCTAAACAAATCTAACATTTCGTATAACATACGTTACTATACATATTTTTAAACAAAGCGGATGTATCTAGCATCTTTGTTGCGAATTATTCACAAATACGAGATGTTTGAATCTGGTTAGAAGAAAAAACGTAAGCCATTCTTTTTTGCATAAGAATTACATTTTTCTTCCGAAGTGGTTTGCGATCCATATCGGCAAGGTAAACTATTCTCTAGGCGCTGAAGAAAGAAACTAAACCCAAACAAATACACGCATATTGCTCGTGAGTGAGTGTTTAGGCGCAGGAGACATTACAGGATCGCATCAAGATATTATGGGTAGTCATCAAAAATTTCATACAAGATAATTATTATCTTTTACAATAAATTTCAGTTAGAGATTCACAAATGAGTTAACTACACTTTTTAGTTATTAGTAAGTAAGCTGCGCGCACTCATTCAGAAGAGGAACTTGAATCTTCTGAATCGTTTAAATGAATTATTAGAGGTTCAATTTGGGTATCGATGACATTGTCCAAATCCCACATTTTGACCTCAACCTTCTCCCGAACGTGGCGGATACAGTTTTTCCATTCCTCTGCCGTAACTCTATTGACTGCGATGTGAAAGAGATTTTTAACATCAGAAAATTTATAAGTATTATTATTCGACGCCACGTATTGCTTTATGTTGGCCCAAATCATCTCAATAGGGTTCAGCTCACAATGGTAGGGTGGCAGTCTCAAGACAGTTTTATTTTGTTGTTTGGCCATTTCGTCGATCATTTCAAAATCGTATTTGTATTTATGTCTATTGACTATACTTATCAATTCACCCTTGACCATTGTTTCATCAAAATCGATCTGTTTTGAGGCCAGCCATTGTTGTATGTTTGCTTTTTTAGTTGCCATTGTGGGAATTTTTTATATTTTTCTAGAATGGTACGGGGCATTATCCAGTACAATAACAGCGTTATTCTCCAGCTTTAGTAACATTTTGGAGAACCAATTTTCAAAGGAATTGCCGTCCATCTCCTCATGATAGTCCCCTGTCTTTTTTGATTCAAAGGCCCACAGTGCTTCGGGAACAAAGCCGTCTTCACTACCTACGTGACAAATGATCAGCCGTTTGCTT